GTTAGTATAATTCCCTTAAAAATAAAACTAATAAATATGCATATGTACGTACGTGCGCACATACGTATCACAGTAATGCGATATCATGTGATAAATCATTTGGACTCTGGGAATTTAGATATTAATATCAAATTATAGTATAAATGCTTCGGCCTTACAAAAAAACTAAGTCATGTTAATACTTAATACGTAATAATAACGATAAATTCAGGGGATAGCTAGCAATGTATACTCATTGTTATTGTTATTGTTATTAATGGGTGAATATACGTATAAAAAAAAAAAAAAAAAAGGCAGTAGCAAAATGCTAACCTAATAAATAAAATTCATTAAAAATCTTGTGTGCTGATACACTAAAGATTTTATTGCTACAAAATATTAAACTGAAAAATAAATCCGAGCTTTAAGTAGTATGTTGCCTGTTTGTTGATTTGATTCGTGTTCTAAAAAACTAGAGAACATCCACAAAAAAAAACTTAGCAACTATTCTGGTTTGATGTTCCCAACTCGTGCTGCGCATTAATATCAAAGTTAGAAATGATTTGCAAATACACATAGATTTTCTACACTTTTCTGCGCATGTTACATATTTGCTACGAATTTATACGTATTTCATTTTTTCCCTCGGCTAATGTAACAAGTATCAAAACTTATACGCAATTGTGAATTCATAAATACTAAATACTAGATAACATATATTTTAATAACAGGTTTATTTGAGTTTATAGTATAGGTTTCAAAGTAAAATTTATATTATTCGATATATATTTTTAATACGTACTGTTTAATGGAATTGTTTTGCCCAAAATAGTAAGAGTGTAAAAAATGGTATCAGTTACATCTTGTCAAATATAGCAAGAATAGCAAATGATAATATATGGAGGAGATTAAGAAATTAGAACAGATCTCTTTAAAAATATCGATTCTCTTACTTGTGACACGAATATGCTGTCCTCTTACGTATAAACTAACTTTACTTGTAACTCGTAAAGTATAAAGGAACTCTATAGATTTTTTGAAATTCCTTTACAGTAAATGCGTCCCTTTTACGATGAACTCTGACATTCTTTCTATCAAAGAAAGCCTTTTAACAATGCCAACTGAAGCGATTGACATTATAATAGACTATTTGAATGTGAAAGATCTACAAAATCTTTCGCAATCATGTCGAAAGCTTCGTCGCGCGGCAAGGATTTTTCATTTTGGCGTTAATCTGCCGATTTGGAAAGACATAACTAGCGATTTAACTGTCGCCCCACCACTTTCAAATTATCGTGATGGTGTCCTCATTGATGGCAAGTTCTATATTGTCATCCTGGCTGAAATTGTACCTATATGTTGGATCTTGGATTTTACGCAAAATACAATCGGATGGATGCAAGTTCCTCTTTTAATTATGAATCGTGAAGAATACCATCCTATTAGATCTACTGCTGGTGCCGCAATAAAAAATGACATTTATATGTTCGGTGGTGAAAGTAGATTAACGGGAAAACCTACCAACATAATGTATAAGCTAGAAATAAAGACCATGAAATTATTTAAAGTTATTGTGAATGGCGATAGTCCTACTCCAAGGCTAATGCACTCTCTGGATTCTGTAAATAGCGGACATATAATACTTTTTGGAGGACGTTGTATGACGCATGGGAGTAAGTGTAGTTTGGAGAAAGACAATATTATGCTTTATTGTTCTTAACGCTCCGATTACATCTATTTACGTCTTCATTTACAACAATTTTTGTGTGTTCGTTGTGATCTCAATATTCTATGTTCACAAGATAAACTTTATGACACAAAAGACTTTTTCATTTATAGCGTCTATAAAAATATGTGGATCAAGTACGATCAGACCTCTAGTCTTCCCTCTCCAAGGTCCCTCCATAATAGTATTGCAATCAATGGAAAACTTTACATTTATGGCGGTCAACATAATACTTTACGTTCTAATTCCCTTAAAACTTCGATTCACGATGACGAAGATATTTGGGTCTTTGACAGTTATAAAAATACTTGGCATAAATACCTTGCACCAAATCCATCGTTTTTATGTCTCCCGAAGGAATGGATACCGACAACCGGTATAGGCCCTGGTAAAAGACGCGGTGCATCCATCTTTATCTTACGCCGTAGAATCATTATTTTAGGTGGATCGATAGAATGTAAGAACATAGGTGAAAATGAAAAAACTGGGGAATACATGAATATATTTTGCCCTTTAAAAAAAACTTGGAGACACGTTAAGGTAGATGGCATGCCGCGCCTAGAATGCGTTGCAATAAGATGTCGAGAAAATGGCGTTTTTATCATTGGCAAAAATCGTGACGCGAAAATCGTTATGGGTTGGATAATAGATTAGTTTCTTAAGATATATGACAATAAATTATAGGCAAAATCGATATGATGTTTACTTATGTTTACTTTTTCCCTTTTTGTTTTTTTGGTTGTTTTTTTTTTTTTTATGAATCAATTTAAGAAAAGCAAATGCTATGAAGTTTTATAAGAACATTAAGATTAAATTTTATACTACACGTACATATTACATATAACTTTAATCCGATTTAGTAGGAGGAACAAATTCACGTAATAAGTTGTAATTAATAAATAAATAAAATAAATATGTTACTTTTTTCAGCCGAAATCAAATGACCCTTTGTTCCCTTTGATATCGATATACTGTATAGCTCAATTCATTTAACTCAGCCAAGAATTCCTGGTCATAATTTGGAGTAAAGTACATTATACAATATAATTTAATTGCAAAAATAAAGAACATTGCATAATATTTAAAAATAAAATTTTTAAATTTAAAATAATAACATTGCCCAATAAATGCTTCATCGAACCCTTAATTAATAATTTTTAAACTGTTGTAGAAGCTTGTTTAATGGTAAACTAAACATTTTAAGAAATAGTAAAAATGTAAGAATATGTTCTTTATCACTAAATTTAAAACAATTGGTGCATTCAAATAATTAAACCTAAATCGAGTGCCGTTAAGGGAAAACCTACCATCGGACTTTCAATTATGTTTTGTGTACAGTTAGCCATCTATGAAAATCCATCATTTTCCATAGACGGCTAATTGTACACAAATACGTAAAATCGAATGTCCAATGACAAGCTTTCCTTTGACGGTACTCATACAGTATCCTACCGCTACTATTTTAAAGTTGATTCAGATGGTGAATCAGAAATGACATGTGACACACTATATCTTTATACAAACATTATTCACGCGACTAATATAAAGGATTTTCTAAAAATAGGGATATTTGATAATTTAATTAATTAAAAAAAAAAAAAACAGATTCTGAAGAGGAATTCATCAGCCGTTCTAATAATAAATAATTGCTGTAAGCAATGCAATCTCAACGATCATGAAATCATCGCTTACGTAAACTCATTAATTAATGGTTAAGATTATGCATTCAAGATCATAGATTAAGCATTTAGATGATATTTACCTTATTCGATGACAACCATGAAGCGCGACATAATACCAGGAACAATCGCAATGTTATTTTCTCCTCGTAAAACACCAAGAGAATAGGTAAACGGCACATTAAGGCTTGAATTGCGCAGAATTGACATGCAACTTCAGTAATCCCTTATTAAGATTCGAATCTTAATCATTCTACTTGTAATCTCACTAATTAAAGATTTGTTATTAAATAATAGGAACGGCATGACACCCGGATCTTATCGGTAACCCCTAACCCGGGTCAACAACAAGAGGTGTAAATTTTGTGGGCTAGACGTGTGAAAATCTGGATTGACTCGCGCCAAACTAGGGATGCGTTAGTCTTATTTGTATAATGATAAACATTTATTAAAGAAAATTCATAAATTTAAATGTAAACATGTTTGCATAACGCAATTATTACGTCATAGGAAAACGTTCAACAATATACAACTATACATTTATGGTATGGTACAGAAAAAAAGTTTTTGTACAAAAAAATCGTTATCCCCAGGTAACATTCCTGCATACATGTATGTATTTTGATATTAACCAAGAAATAATATATATATGCTTAAGTGTGGTCATTTTCTACACCGTACCCCCTAACATTTTTTCTGTATCGTACCCTGAAGCATAATCCATACAATTATCATACCTTGTAATATTTCTATATAACATCTGATATTCAAATTTCCCGTACAGTTGTGAAATCCAACAAATCTGGACTTGTCACACTTGACAGATACGGCAGAAAGAACGGTAAGTTTAAGAATTGAACTTAGACATGACGAGGTAACTTTTGATATTATATATTGAGTTCAAATAAATTAGAATATTTGGTTCAGTTCGTTCATTAAATGAAAAACTGTTAACGGTTTTACCACAAAATCCCGACAGATTCCAATACTGACAAAGTTAGCCGGCATTAGTTATAATGCTGGCCAATTTAGTCGGTATTATGTTCTTTCAGGAAAATGGTTTTCGAGATTTTGTGGTAGAACCGTTGTTAACAAATCTATGCTATACCTGAAAAATCGAATTCTTTGTCATTAGTCTTTAGTCAACTTTAAATTAGTTCTGACTCGTGATTGCTGACGTAATATATCTATGATAAATAACAGATATTCACTTGAAGTTAAGTTGTCGTGTTTAAGAGAATGAGAATAAAGATTAGAGTGATGCTTAGTGGTGTGCTGCGTACCATACTATACGTGCCATGCGCGAAAAAAATCTCTATATTATGAATCATACTACCAATCAGACCGTATAATCTTCGAGTTGGCTAGATGATTTGGTCTTTTTACCAGGAAAGTGACGGCCAGAGCTATGTAGATTTTATGAACAAAATTAAATTTAACTAATCAATGGCCAATTCGAATGAACTTTTTTTATTTCGTAGAGCTCTCTAATCTTTATGAAATAAAGAAGTTTATTCGAATCGGATCGTTTGTTGGTTAAAAAAATTAAATTTTATTCGTAAAACCCTGAGGACCATCATTACAGCAAAGGCCCCATTTGGATGAAATAAAGAAACCTAGAAGCTATGAGTGACTATGAGCCAAATGATCGACGTTGAGGCGTTCTGGTTGAATCAACAAGTCTCACGATTCTTTGTTCTGCATTTTTTGCAAGAGGATTATTCTAAATTCCGAGTCTTCTGGCCTGGATTAAAATTAGAATGTTTTTAATAAATTCAAATAAATTCATAATTTTTCGCAAACCATCATACGAATATTCTTACTTAACAAATGATTACGATTTGGGACGTTTTAAATTATGTGATGACTATCGTCTGATTGCTATAATAGTAGGGTCAAATTGGTCTATCAATCTTGATCTAAAAACAGATTGATCCGTATTATGAGAATGGCATTTTTGATCGGGTCTTTGATCCGAATCGGACCAATTTAACATCCCTATATATAGAAATTGTGTGATAGCATCGCATAATTTGGAAAATCCCAAATATGATTTCGTTAATGAAATTTTTGAGATTCCTACGTATAAGTTCGAATAAGTTCGAATCTAACGGATACGGCACACATGCATGGTTAGAGTGATTATAATATGTGTTATTGCTTATTACAACTAACATTATCATTACTACAATTTTTTTTGATAGTTGTGGTGTTTGCAAAATGCAATTTTGATCAGCAGATACTAAATTTTCAAATTGCATTTGTGTATCATAAATAATAATAAGCAATATCTAGCAATAATACATAAGAATAGGTAAGATGATAAAAATAAGTAACTATTACTTCAATCTGATGGATTTGATAGAGAGAGCAGAACTAGTAGAGTCAGCATATATTTACGTGTGATGACATATTTTTACATACCTTCCGTGCATCATCCTGACGATTTCGTATGATTATGTATTTGAGTGTCGTCAAAAGAAAACCCAACAATCTAAAAATAGATCACATAGATCACTTATGAATTTCATAATGATCTATGTGATCTATTTTTAGATTGTCGGGTTTTCTTTTGACGACACTCATTTTAAATTTTTCGATATTAATTTCCGCGCGGTGATTACGAAACACGTATTTTTTCCGTATATACTGTAACTCCATAGCAGATAGTTATATGATTATATTTGAATCCACATAACAAAATCAATTCCTATGCAGGTAAGATGTCAAAAAACTGACCAATAACTTCTTCATGACAAGCTCTACAAAAGGTATTAGTCAAAATTTTAATTTTATAGTGAGTTGAAATTAGAGTTGCAGGTGAAACTAATCTTCAATGGTTATAGATGAAACTAATCTTCAATGGTGCACCAGTTTCCTGGTGAAATTAATTGGCTTCACCTGCAATTCTAGTTGAAATTGCGAAATTCTTATATAAATCAATAACAATATTAACTTTCAAATCGGTCTTTTATACTAGAGGTTTTTTTAAAAAAGCTGACTGATGAATTTATAGAACTTACATGACTCTACAAATTTACCAAGTTTTTTTTTAAAACCTCTTACATAAAAAGGGTCGCTTAAAGCTAGGTTCATCACGAGATTTTCTGTTGCTCACAACCAATCAAAATCGCGAATTTCTGTTTAAGCATTAAACGAAAATACAAAAAACGAACGTCTAAATCTATTTTGATGTATTAAGAAAAAATGCCAGGGGGGGCGAATATTTACATATAGGAGTCTTATAACCTTAACATTAATAATTTTTCTGTTTTTAATTAAATTTCGTGATTTACCTGGCTTTAAACGTCTGTAAAAGTAAGTGATTTGAAAATTTTTTTTTGATAGTTTTTGAACGTACCTATATAATAACTGTGTGCCAAGCTGCCAGAACACTGATCGTATAGTGATTATTAAATAATAAATTTTCAGATGTCCGATAGGTGAAAATTAATTTGTACTTTCAGATCTCCCCTTAAATTGGAACATTATAGCAATAAGTGAAGGCAATAGAATTCGTGAATTTTTTAGAAAACTTACTTTTAAACAAGCCATGAAAAATTCCATGACTACCATCTACTTTAGCAAGCCTATCAAAAAGACGTTAATTCCTCTGGTCAAACCCATAATCGAATGCTTTTCATTAAGAATCACAGCAAAATTGCGTTTATAACGTATCGTGTGAAAAAAAATTCAAGCATCATAATGGCACATCAATAGTAATGTTGTAGCCTAATCAAGGTAAGACTAAGAATATAAATGATGAAAATAAATGTTCAAACCAAATCAGTCCACGCCTCCTAAGAAAAGCCACCACATGCCGTAAAACGCAAAATACACATACCCAGTATTTTAAATCCCATAATAATTTTTAATATACAAAGATGGGAGTATTTATTTTGCCCCAATAACATCCCTATTAAAATAAAGTAACGCATTATTGGATTTTTTTAATAAAAAAAACGGGATTATTGATTCGTACCCACCCAGATTTCCTACAAATATCACACAAAAATCTAAATCAAGAGGGTATCTCGCATTGCGTCTTATTAGATATTGCAGTGGTACTTATAAATTATGATTTTTGAATAATTAATTTTGATATATATATATATATATATATATTTTCTTAACAACATCATCAACAGCGACGTTCACAATGCAACCTATTCACTGGATTTCACAAAATTAATAAGCAAACTCCGTAACTCCCCTAAGGGTGTTTCCTACAAATTGGATATGGACGTTTAAAACTGAAAATATTATCTAAAATTACTCTCAGTGCAAAAATTATTCGATTCTGATTATTAGTCAAAAGTTATTTTATTAGATTGATGAATCTTTGCTTAAGAAATGTTTTAGGCTATGAATGTGTAAGATCCATTGACTAAACTTGGCACCATTTAAAACAAATTGAAAGATGCAAAAATTGTCGATTCTAATCAAAGGATTACGCGCTATTTTCATTCATTCCGAAACATTTTTTAAATTAAGATTAATAACCCTAATTTGATAAATAATCGAAATCGAAAAATATGTCATTCGATTCGTCTCAGTGAATCGAATAAATAATAAAAAGTGTACGATTCTTATTATTCTTATTGACAAATCGCGTACTATCGTCGAATACCTTCAATTCTCACAGTTTTTCTATAAATAAGAATTACAGTGTTTTAAATTAATTTTGTACATTATAAAATGGAAGTTAAATTAAATATGTATAAATAATTACCTTTTTTCACATGCTCTACATTTAGCGTTATTTACTAAAATTCGACAAACGATCGTATACATTATGCAAGATTTGTCGTACGGATGATTTAAATTTCTATTTCAGCAGAGGTGACGGGTCACGGATTAACCCAAGATAATAGAAAATTCAAATAATCAGATATAAAAAAAAAAAAAAAAAGTATTACCAGATCTACGGGAAACTATTCAACATTCGGCATTATGCAATCTGCTATCTGACCTAAATTATCAAAAATCACGCAGTGTTTATCACTGTTTTAGACAGGTGTTGCCAAATATTATTATTTTTGGTTCAAGTACCATCGAAAATCCCGGGAATATTGAATTTTATACCTGTATTTTCGTAAAATAACGCCTTTTGATAATCCCACAGTCACTATATCAAAGATCACGGGAAATTAACCAATTCCACTTATAATAAATGACCCAGAATATTATTGTAAATTGCCTCCTTAAAAAGAAGTTTCTTTGTTTCATTATGTTGATGCTTAAAATAATGCACACCTGATATACGTAATTTTTATATTAAATAACGTTCATGAAAGTTATTTTGAATTCAAAATGACGCACATAGACGTACCTGAAGTAACATACAGATGGACATTATTTGGCAAAAATATAGTAAGTTGATTTAGAAAATTGAATTCTAGATCTCAAATGGAGTCGTACACATCTATTGGATCGGTAAAAATTGAATTTAACAATCAATAATTATTTAATTTTCAAAAAAAAAATAATAATAATAAATCCTATCACATGCCAAATCGACTATTATTACTTATTAAACCGTATCTATATTATTCTTCAATATTATTTCCTTGGGTAACATCTTATGAAGAACCAAATTAAAATTTACGTCGTGACAGTATCGTGAATCTTAATGCACTGAATTTATGACATATAGAAAGTAGCTAAAATCCAAAAAACATACATTTATGTTAAATCCATGATTTCTTTAAAAATGAAAGAAATAAGATGAACTTATTAAACGAAATGCCGACGCATAAAGTAGGAAAATTTTCGATAGCTAGCGCTAATTTTTTTTTTGCAAGCAAGTTAACATCGGGATATTAACCAACTATATGACAAAAAAGGACCTAAAGGCTAATGTTATTATTATTTTAATTTTGGTACTAAAAATAAAAACTGTGCTAGCCAAAGACTCTTAAAAATTTCTCTTACTATCGCTATAAAAAAAAACCACATTTCGTCATTTTAACATAAATCTTACCCACGTGCCAGGGCTAAAATACTTATTAATGTTAATCCCCATTAATGTTTTTCACTATAATTAGTATCTCGTACCACTTATTTGGCTCATTTAAGGGAACATTAAGCCATATATTCATGTGACCTGCAATTCCTAATTAAACTAGGGCCCAGGTCGGTTTGAGACTAGGTAAAATCACTTTGTAAATATTTTTACTACTCCAAATATGGTTTTTTTGTTCGCTTATTATTCTCACATACTTACTTTTTTTTTCCCCAGCTGATCAAAATTCACTATTATTATTGGCCAATTTACATGGGCTTCCTTATCTAGTTATGCCGGTACTACATAGCACCTATTTATCGGTAGCGGGTAACCGTCGCTAGGATATGCTTCAATCCGGTTCGTGCAACGTATACAAATTTATTTGAATATTTCTCTGCCCTGGCGTAGCTTTTGCTAACTTGTCATATGATACATAGGTGATACGTAGAGCATTCATTATAACCTCTCAAAAATTAATAAAACACAGTACATAATATACCTTTAAACAGTCGATCCTATATGGCGAATCAACTAACAGACTTTTCATTCTTTATTTGCGAGTGTGAATGTAAAGGATTAGAGAATAATTAGAATTGACTTTATTATGGGTAGCAATTCTACCCAAACCTGTTATTTGAATTACTACATAGTTTGGGTTTAAAACCCAAACCCAAATATATATTCCAATTTTAACAAATACTTACTAATTAAATTTATTAGATTAGCATATAATAACTAGTGATTTTATTCAAACCTGTTAATGTATTTGTATTACGAAATTAATACATAATTTGGGTTTGTGAATTAGGATTTCTACGTTTAGACATAAAACCCAAACCCAAATATATGTTCTAGAATTTTTTAGCACCAATAGTTCTGTTCTACCTATTTTTAAAATATACTCTAAACTTAGTTTTTGTATATAAAAATTTGGGACTATTGGCTATAATAGGAGGGTTCAAAATTAAAATGCAGAAATCTAATTTTAATTGAAATTGATGACGTATTTGAAATAAGTGATCCGGAGATCTGATCTTATTTTCAATTTGAACGAAAGCTTTTTTTTTACGAGTATGATAAAAATTTTCTGCCATCATGAAATGGGATCCCAAACATTCCCATTT